GACTGCGTCTCTGCCCGCTGTGTCGCCTCGAGCCCCCGACGACCTCCTCTTCCCCGGCCCCCGCCGCGCCAGGGTGAAGCTCGAGTTCGCCCTGTAGTACCGCTCGCCGTCGCCGGAGCAAGAGCAGGCGACGGGGACAATTACGTCTTTACCCAAATCGAAAACAGAGGAGGGATCCTCTACGACGTTGAATTGGGCGATTTTCGCGGCGTCGGATGACATCAGCTCCGCGATTTCAGCGGGGGAGCTGTAATCGGGAGTGGACCGGAAGATGAGAAACGATTGGCAGGAACGGTTGAGGCAGTTGCAGGTGTAGAGAAACTCTGGGGACGGGGCGAGTTCGTCGGAGGCGTCGCAATTGAGGGATTGGAGTCTTGAGTAGTTCTGACGAGTGGCGGCCGGCGGGAGGGTTTGGAAGAGAGCGGTGGCGGCTAGGGATGGCAAAAATATCCGTAACCGTGGATATCCGCCCGAATCCGGCCTAATCGGGTAGGGTAAAACCCGAACCCGAAGGACATTTAGTGGGTATGGGTAAAATCCGAACCCGAATATTGCGGGTAATGGGTGGGCATGGGTTTCACACTATTCAACCCGAACCCGCCCGATTATACACATGCACATGTATTTTGTCTAGAAATAATCATTATTTTTCTCTAACATATTTTATATTTATCATATAAATATAATATTTTCATGAAATTGTGTTGTTTTAATTAATTTTCTTCATTCTGGTGAAGTATTGTCGTACTTTTCCTCTTACGTAATGTGAGAATACGTATGAATGTTAACATATTGGTTGGAGTTATGAAGATAAATTATTACCCATGGATAACCGTGGATATCCGAAACCCGAATGGGTATGGGCATGGTTTTGATTTTCTACCCGTTTCACATGTGGGTATGGGCATGGGTAAAACCCGAACTACTTTGGGTAGGGTAACGGATATGCACTATCTGTCCCCGACCCATTGCCATCCCTAGTGGCGGCGAGGGTTAGAAGAAGGGCGAGGGGGAAATGGGTCACGGTTTGTTTTAGGGGTGGGAAACGGTCCAGTCTGGTTAAAATTGGACCGGATTGACCCGGTTTTTTACAACCGTTTTGGCCAATATCGCAACCGGAGACGGGATTGGATTGGATCCGGTTTTAACCAAAATCGGACTGGATTGGATTCGGTTTTAACCAAAACCGGACTGGATTGGATTCGGATTTAACCAAAAAACCGGAAGTACTAATTAAATTAAACTAAACGTCGCCGTCTAAGTCATTTTGACTGGACAAAAATAACAAAATCGTCTGACCTACATAGTACAACAACCACACAATTCTTATCTCCTTTCAAATCCCAATTGCTCACAAATCTTCTTTTCCTCTCCGCTTCTCAACTATTCGACGATGGCGACGGCGAGCAACCTCTTCTCGCTTGGAGCGACCGACGAGGTTTCAGAATGACGGAGTGGCGGATTACAGAGGCGATACCTGGGGGCGAGGTGGTTATGGCCGATGAGAGAGATCGGAGTCGTGGTAGCTCCTCTTCCTCCATGCATCCACCTTCTGGCAAGCACGGTTACTGATCCTAGTCCGAAGAAGGCGAACATGCGGCGGTCGGTGATCGGTGGAGGGTCGAGTGGCGAAGGGTTGGTCGGCGAAGGGTCGGCGGAGGTCCAAAGCTTGCTCTGGTTTGGATGGGCAATCATTTGATTTCACTATTGAAGCAAACATAAAAACAAATTTGATCTCCTCTAATAATCACCCATCCAAACCAGAGCTTGTGGAGTTGGAGTTGGAGTTGGAGTTGGTGAGGCGGAGAGGTTGTAGTTTGTGTGTGGGGATTTGGAAGAGACAGAGAGATGGTGGGATAGAGATGCGGCCGTCTCTAAGAGTGGGAAGGGGAGACTTGAGAGGAAAGTGGGGATCTGAGAATTGGGTTAGGGTTAGGGGGAGTTAGAGTGGGCTGGGGTGAGAGAGGGAGTGGGCATGAGCTGGGGTGGGAGTGGGCCTGGAATGGGCTAGGAATGGGATATGATAGTTTTATTTTTTATAATCCGGTTTTAACCGGATCGGACCGGTCATACTAACACTAAAACTGTAAACTAGATTGGGTTAATGGATATCCGGTTTCCGGTTTCAACCGGAGCGGTTTTAACTGGCCGGTTTCCGATTTGACCGGAAAACCGGGACCAAATTCCCAGCCCTAGTTTGTTTGATGGGGTTTTCTCTGGGAATTGGTTGGTGTTGGTAATGGTAAGTTGGTGTTTAGGAACTTTGGCCCGCCTGGTCTGGTCGTGAACCGGGATTTGGTAGCTTTGAGGGATGGTCAGAGGAATGGTGTCGTGGTCGAATCGAAGGCGTCCAGTGAGGAGCAGTCAAAACCTGGGTAGGAATTGAAAGATGGGTTTTCCATTCCCTGCTTTGCGACACAAATCACAAGGACAGAAAAATCTTTACAAAACAGGAGTTGGAAACAGTAGGAGTAAGTGATTGAATGAACAAAACCAGCCTACTTACCAAGTCAGGCAACCATTGAGTGTGTTGGATTTCCATTGAGTCTGATGGGGTTTTCTCTGGGAATTGGGAACAAAACAGAGCTCTGGAAATGACAAAGCTTGGAGACTGTTGGTTAGGCAGCTCCAATCGAACTGGCCTTCACATTTCGGTTGCCCCGGTTAAATCGCACCTAAACCAAAAACTGACCGGTCGGTTTGCGACTAACCGGAGCTGATGGGACGGTCGGTCGACGGTAGAGGTTGGTCATGTCTCGATTTAACCCAAAATCGAGATTTCAGTTTTCGATTAAACTGAAATCGACCGGCTGCCACCCCTAGTTTAGAGGACATTGCTTTGAGGGTTGTTATTTGCCGCCCTATAGATTACTATTTGCCGCCCACAATTTGAAAGTAAATGACAATTTGCCCCTTATTGAAACCCTACCACAAACCATCGCCGACTTGCCTCCCTGCCGGTAAATCGGCGCGCAACCTTCCTCCTCCTGCCAATCCTTACCCATCTCTCTTTCCTCTAAGCCCATGCCCACCCAACACTTCCTCCTCCTGCCATTCGAGAGAAGCACCGGCATCATCATCGTCAACAACTCACCGCCGACCCCAAAATCCATCCCGCGAAGACAACAATTCCCGGCATCGTCATCGTCTTCCCATCGTCGGACGGAGATCAAGGGCCCGACGTCGGAGTTAGAATGGAGAAGTGCGGTTCGACGTTGGAATTCGGACGGAGAAGCACAATACGATCTCTGGCGTCGGACCACGTCCGATCACCGGCGTCGGACCACGTCCAAAAGTCGAGATGAAGAAGAAGAGGAGGGAGAGAGGGCATTCGACGGGAAGTGAAATTTGAGGGTTTTTTTTTTTTTTTGCCAATAGATAACGAAATTTGAGGGGGTTAATTAGAAGAGATTAGTGATTAATATTATTGTTTATTATTTTGTTAAATGATAATGGTTTAGGATTCTGCCGTTAAGTGAGATCAAGGTTGTCAAACCGGTTTATGCCAGTGTGCCGGTTTATCAAGTGGAATGGTTCAACCGGTGGCACATACCGGTTTGTGCCGGTTCATGCCGGTCAATATTACAAATAAAATTATAAATACTCATATTTAAACATGACATTTAACGTCAACCTAAACATTTATACTTGAATCCAACAAATAACATCAATATTTAACTTTTATACTCATAAAATAAATAATAAAATAATTTTTATCAATTAAATTCACTAAAATAAGGTAATTTTACTTAGAGATTCGTATATCGATCATGCCGGTCATACCGGTGATGTCATGCCGGTTTTATGATCGGTACCGGTTGAACCAGGTACAACCGGTGGCACGCCGGCCGGCGTGACAACCATGAGTGAGATGGATTGGGGGATTATTGGTATAATTATTATATTAATAATATTATTATTATTTATTAGGAAAGAGGTTGGTAGCGATACCCTCTCTCGCGTAATTGAAGTGCTAAAATGGCTCCAATTCAGTTAAATTCACCTACTGGTCAAACACGGAAATTAAGAAAATCCTAAACTTACTTTAATTAATTAAGAAGGGTGGAGAAATACAAATTGTTAATTAGGGAATTAGTATTAGATGTTGGTTATTGAGGAGGAAGTTTTTCCGGCTCGTAATTAGAGAAATACAATTATTTAGTTAGGAAAATACAATTAGACATTGGTTATTTACGGAAATTTTGGTATTTTATATATATGTAATACAATATTTATATTCAATTAGACGTCTGTCGTTAGATTAATTGAGGAAATCAATATTCTCGTCATAAATCTTGGGTGAAATAAGGAAAATAAGAATGTAATTAATAATTTAAAATTTAAAATCATAATTATGGTATTTTACAACTATTTGATTACTAAATAAATAATTAGGGAATCGTACACCGACGCCGGAATAGTACGCAATGCACCGGTCCGACGCCGGCGGGTGGACCACGTCCGACCCGGGAGAGCGGACCCCGTCCGATATCCAATGTCGGACCACGTCCGAAACCCGACGACGGACCCCGTACGAAACCCGACGTCGGACCCAGCGTCTCCGTCCGTCCGTTCTCCGGCGACGACCACCAATCCTGTCCAATTGTCGTAGTCGGGCCACCCATCTCATTCTGATCCGGCCAGGTCTTGATCCATGGCGATTCCCTCGCCGCAACCGCCACGCAAGAACGAGAAGATTGAGAGCACGGAAAGTGGATGAAGATGGTGGAGAGATCGTCGCATAATAAAAAAGTGGAAGGCAAATCGTTGCCCAGAATTGTGGGGTAAAAAAGAAAGGCAAAGGCTAATGGTTGCCGAAAAAAGAAAGGCAGAATGCCCAGAATTGTTTCTCCACGGCGGCTGCAAAAGCCGGCAAGCGGTTCTGACGGCGGCGGGATAGGCTATTCAGTTAGGTTTTTAAAGTGTTGAAGGGCAAAATAGACTTTTTCATAAAATTATGGGCGGCAAATAGTAAATACGCGGGCGGCAAATAGCGATCCATATTGCTTTTTCCCCCCTCAAATCGATCCAAGCTCACTTCGTCTTCTTCTTTAAGCCGCCAACGACACTCGACCTCTACCCCATCTGCTCCGTCGAGCAGCCAGGTGACTGTGATTCCTATCGTCCTCGCTGCTCCGGCCTCGACCTCGCTTCTCAGGCTCGACTTCGCTGCTTCCCGCCTAGTCTGCACTGCTACGGTCGACATTTCTGCTGCCGCTCGACGTCGCTGCTCCCGGCTCGGCCACCCAGCTCAAGCATCCCCGCCGCGTCCAGCTTCCGCCAGTAGTAGCGATTCTTTCCTTTTAAAAAAAACCATCAACGATTCTTTGTCGAGAACACTCCCTAAACAAGAGAAATTTGTTTCTGGGATACAATTCTTGATGCTATCGCTTCGTTGTGTAACTTTGCCAGCTTAATTTTGGGAGGTATCCTCTTGTGAAGTGCGAAGCAGTGCAGGTAGAGCCACTCTATTGTCAAGCACGAAGGTGTTTGATAAAATGTGCAGCTGAATAACTTAATAGGTCTTGACCACTACTTTGTTTTTTTCTTTTTCCAGCCTTCTTTCTGCTTTATCATCAAGAATTTGAATATGGTGATTCGTTCTTTTATTGGGGATTCGCCCTTAGGAGTTCTTCCAATTTTAAACATATATTACACTCATCCGTTAGCGGAAATAGCTTGCTGAAGAAATAATTGAAGTCGTGTCTCATTACAATGTTAAGGGCATGATAAATATAAGTGGCCGGCTATGCTACTTTTGTACTAAAAGAAATTAATTCAGTGCCTTGCGTCCAATTGCTTGTCTTGGGTTAATTATGAGTCTTCGTGGGTTGGTGGCGTTTAGGTATCTGATATATGCTCACTGATTCCTTCTTTATGTTTCCATAGGTGGGTTCATGGTAATTTCTGGTGCCACTATGAAGAACGAAGAAAAGACTGAGCTTGCTGGGTTTCTGAAAACTTTACCGCCTGTTCAGTTTTGCTGTGTGTATGGTTCCACGCTCCATCCAAATAACTCTGACAAGGTTCTTCTTGTGTTCCTTGTTATGTGACTTTTGCCTAAGAGGTTTCTAGATGTGGCTGCTCCCTTCTTTCGAATTTATAACTTGAAATGCAACTTATATTTGCTGACCTTGTAGTCTTCAATGGTGGATTATATACTTGGTGTGGCAGATCCCCTGAAATGGCATTCAGAGGCAAGAAAAATAGATTGCAAAGATATTCTGTTCTGCTTTATATTACATTCTAGTTGCCTGAACATCTAATATCCACTTCTGTTATTTTTTTTTTCTTCAGAATCTGAAATTGAATAGAAGCCATTATGCCTCGTGGATGGTTCACCTAGGGGGAGCAAAACTGGTGTCACTTCCTCTCTCCTTATCTTTCTCTGTCGAATCTCAAGTATTTATTTCTTCAGTCCCAATATATGATTTAGTGATTTTACTAGGTCACTAAAGTTGCAGATGGCATCGGTGTTGGAGTTCACTTCAACCCCTTTGTTACTTGGAATGACAAGGTATTCTAATTCATCGGAGATGTTTAACTCTAACAGCGCTCTGGCTTGAACTATCTCATACAGATCAATGTTATCTTGTGTTTTTAGTGTGTTTCTTGTTCCAGTAATGAGTGGTAGTTTCTCAAGCTCAGGAAATTTATGACAGATGCTCAAATATGGGGTTGTTAGAATGCATGATCTGGTTGAAGACATTCTAAATTGGCAGAGATTTTACATAAGTGGTCGTTTGCAGAAACCAGTATGTTTTCCTCTCTTTCATTGTCGTTTTACGAGTTTGTTGTTGGAGCATTCTCTAAAATCCGCTTCGCACTATGTTTGCACGAGTCTATTATGAGCCGAACCACAATTGAAAGACTTTGATTTAATTTTTTTGGAAGATATGTATAAAGTGTCAATGATAAGGCCAGTTGATATTTGTTAACAATCCCAGCAACAAATGCCGTTCCTTTATATTTTTCCTTGTTCTTCCATCATTTTTTTATTTGTTCTTCCCGGATTTAGAGTCAATTTTTGTGCAATACAATTGATTTACCATTGCTTGGGGGTTTGTTGAATGTAGGTTCGTGTGCTTCTGGACAATTTGGATGTTGAAAATTTAAACGCTACTAACCTTAGGACTGCCATCGCTGCTGCTCTCCTCATTTTGCCATCCAAATTCAACGAGGTTTACGCGTATTACAGAGTTGGACCCTTGAAGTGTTTAAGCAATCTGGAAGAAGAAATGAAAGCATAAAGATAAATATGCATAGAATTAATGGTGCTCTATGCTTGTGCAGGAAGATCTCTATTCCACGATATGTAGCCTGTCCTACATGGGTGATTTGCGTATGATTTTCGCGGAGGACAAAAACAAGGTTTGCCTGACTCTAATTTACACTGTTCAAGTTTGTTATATCAATACAATATAATTTTTTTTTTTATGCTCTGATGATAGTCAACATACGATTTTACCTCTGAAGGTTTAGCCTCAAACCTTGCTAAGGTTTAGATATGAGTCAAGACAAGAATTTGGGACGTGAGTTTATTGCTTGAGGAGGTCCAGATGGCAGAGCCACATTCTAATGCTATTTCTCGATAAACCGTGGTCTCTTGCAGGCTACTGTTGTTGGCTGCCATTTTTCGCCCCATTAATAATATCTTTTTCTTTTTTCTTTTAAGTTGCAGCTACTGTTCTGCTGTAGCTATAACATAGACGAATAAAACTCCTTGTTCCAGTCTTTCTGAATGACATGGTGATGATTCTACGCTGTTGCAAACATTCCTCAGGTGAAGAAAATTGTGCAAGGGCAATTCAATTTGTTCCGGTCAATGTATAAGCCATTCATTGAAGAATACGAGGCGAAGGATGTACTAAGAGTCTCCTCATTTGGTGGGCAACAAGCAAATCTCTCTCAGGTGCATTTGCAATGTCCTACTGATCTAATATCTGGTTATGATTTATGTGTTTGGAATTAAAGACCGAACTCGAGAAAGAACATTTCCCTTTATAGCTGTCAAGTGTTGTACGAGACCGTCATAGTATCCTTTTTATGTTCAAATTACATGCCTTATCCCCCTGCCCCCTGCTCTGTGATGAATGTACTTGCTTCCTTAGTCTTACGTTCAAAGAATCCTTAGTTCCAGTGGATGGTCTTCATGTTTGCATTTGCAGCTATTCCAGAAATATTCCTTTTCACATAACAAGTGCTCATTTATTGGTTTTATAGACTAACATGTTCCAAATCTCAAATAACTGCAGAACTGTTGTCTGCCAGCGACACGTTCTCTCGTTTGCTCTCTACCTCTGCTGGTCAGAAATAAAATGGGGACAGGACTAGGAGGATTGGGCGATTCGGGTAGGATAGGCCTACTTCAAATGGGGTTGCTGGTTAAATGGTTGGTACTAAATTCCAGAGTGCTAGTGGTCTCTATTCTAACCCTCCTCATCGCCCATTTTGTGTAGGTCAGGTTGTACGGGAAGTAGTCTTCAGTTCAAGAGAAGAGGCTGCAAGAAGCATGCAGAAGGTGGTGAGGCGTACAGTAATTGTTTCCAGCTTAAGGCAGGCAGTCTCTGGCTTCGTGGCTGCTGGAGGAATGAATGCTGGTAGATACCTTGCTAATAAAGTGCGCAAGGCATGGAAATCATGGACATAGTCATGTGCTTTGTGGCCTCTGTATCGTGATCGCACTTTGGATCTGCTGGAGAGTTCAGCGACATGGCTGAAACCTGATGTGCAAGAGGATCGTCCTGATACGAGAGATTCAACCGATGATAACGTTTGATTGCTCAGGTGTGTGGCAAACATGTCCGGTTCCCCTGACATATCACCGAAAAAGAAGGCAGTACATCACCACATCATTCATCCAGTTTCCCTTGTTTTCCCCCCTGTTTCTTCTAACTATAGATTTTTGATACCTTGGTAGCTTTTTCAGTTCTTTGCTGCGAACTTATGCTGTAGGTTAGGTGGCTGGAATATTGAGAATGAGCAATAAGAGAACACAACTGCACAACAGTTGCCTACTTGTATCTGCAGTTTACTGGCCATTTTTCATTTTGTTACCAGTTCATTGTATATGTACGACATTTCGGCTCCAGCTCCAATTAATTCATTAAGTCACCAGAGCAAGTTGAACTTCTGCAAGTTAATTAGTTTCTACCGTCTGCTACTAAGATATAGTTGATGGCTTGATGCCTCAACTGTATCAGAATTGATATATTACCATTACATGGAAGATCCATTGACAAGGCCACATGCTTAAATTGTTGTCTTTGAATGCTGGTAAACAATCGTTGCCTGTGAGGGTAAGGCAACAACCACTGTTATCCTGGTAAGGGCTCTTGTGCATCCGAAAACTAGGACACCAATAATCGCCACGCTTCTCGTGGTCACTATTTCAAGCTCATTCATTGCTTTCTTCTCAACCCTAGATGTCTTTACTGGCTTGATGAAAGACGAGAAAGATACACTAATATGACAGAACAATGAGAAACTGGGGATAGCTTCTGCCATCCTCAATACCCCATAGGAACTATCATTACAGTAACCACTAACCAAGAACATTCAAGCTTATTGCAATGTCTGTGTCACAGTAATGCTGCCTCGAAGTACATTTCACAGATCACGGAGAACTGGTTCTCATCACCTTACCGATGGAAACATGTTCTTGACAATCTCGGAGCACCGGATTCTCAACTCTTGCTGTACTGTATGATAAGATGTGCAAGAACAGTAACAATCGATAAAGAAGAATCAAAAGCTGCAGATAATTTTACGATTCGTGAATACCAGATACACGACCTTTCATTTCGAGAGACAACAATATCCTCTTCCAGACAGATGACCAAAATTCAAAGCCATCAACAAAGCAAACACAAATTCTGGGTTCTTACAAACTAGAACAAACCCTGAGAATCTAATATGAAGTATGCATCAACGGATCTATTTCCCTTTGTTACGCTTGGCGGCACCCTTTCCTTGCCCCTTCTTAGGGGGGCCCTTCCCTCGACGTTTCAACATCTCGAGCTTGGACAGCCGCCTGGAAAAAAAACGAAAACAAAAAGTTGCAGGGAACAATGAACATTGAACAAGAGCATTTCAGGGCTTCATTGCATATGCATCACTACAGTTTGCATCTATATCTACAAACAGATTATTGACTCCGTTCTTCAGGAGGCTGCACAAAGTTCTTTTTTCTTCTTCAATAGAAGGCACAAATTAGCAGCAGGCATTTCGTCGAGCACATGGTGGGCAAAAATACTAAAGAGCGTGGAGAATAGAGGAGGGGGGAAGGGGGGTCATACTCCTGTTCTCGAGCGGCCATAACAAGAGGGTCGTCCTTAGTGACGTCGTGAGGGTACCACTGGGAGACCTTGTCGCCGATGAGCTTCTTCCGGAGTAATTTGTGGGGAGATCTTTGCCCTGTTGGGTTTAGAACATGCCCAAATATCCTCGCTCTAGCTTCTGTCACCCCTTGGGTTACCACTGTTTCCAGGAGCCTCCTCAGCCCCACGCCGCTCATCTTGAACTTCGGAGGATCTGCAATATACTACCGGCGTTGGAGACGGTGAGTGGAGGTTATGACGGCGACGGCGACGGCGACGAGCACTGACGAGGAGGCTGAGACGGACGGCTGTTAAAGAACGCCTTACGCATTTTAAGTTTTGTAGGTGTATTTATTCCGCCTGAAGACGAAACGACAGCGTTTGGATGCTGGAACTTTTATTATTGATATAAAATGAATTTACGAAATCAGTTAAATTATTTTCTTATCTGCTCTTCTTCTTTCCCCGCCAATATCATCCTCCCGTCCAGTCCGACCTTCCTTCTTCTTCTTCTTCTTCTTTTCTTCCGAACGGCGACTTGAATCAGAATTCCGTCAACAATTGGAGCACCTTCAGATATATGCTGCTGGACGAATTTCAATTCCCCCGTGAGATTATCGGTCATTCTGCGGAACTTCATTGCGATTGAGAATGTCTTCCTCCTACATTCTGCAGCCTCTGGCCTCTATCTCCCTTCCCTCGCCGGCGTCGTCTCTTCAAGCTCAGCAACCCGCGTTATCGGTACATCAGTACTCGTCTCCTCGACCTCTTCTCTCCACTTCAAACCCTTCTACATCCACCTCCCGGTCTCAAGACTGGTGGGTCGAATCCCTGCGCGCCAAAACCGGCTCCAATCAGTTCCATGAAGCAGTTTCCGTATACATCGACATGATTCTTTCGGGAGCTAATCCAGATAACTTCATCTTCCCTCCGGTTCTCAAGGCCGTGGCCGGGCTTCATGACTTGAGCTTGGGGAAACAGGTTCATGCCCACGCTATCAAATTCGGGCATGAAGGGTCCGTTCGCAGCGTAGCTAATGCGCTCGTCAATGTTTATGGCAAGTGCGGGGAATTATGTGATGCGTACAAGATGTTTGATGGAATTACTGAGAGAGACTCTGTTTCGTGGAACTCGATGATTTCGGCGTTATGCAGGGCTGAGGAGTGGGAGACTGCGCTGGAGTCGTTTCGACTAATGCTGGCGGAGGATCTGGAGCCTAGTTCATTCACGTTGGTGAGCGTGGCGCTAGCTTGTTCTAATTTGGACAAGCATCAGGGCTTGCGGCTCGGGAAGCAGCTTCATGGGTACAGTCTCAGAACAGGCCACTGGATGAAAACGTTCACAAACAACGCTTTGATGTCAATGTACGCAAGAATGGGCAGGGTAGATGAGGCAAAAGGTTTGTTTAAGTTATTCGATGACCGTAACTTGGTTTCGTGGAACACCATGATAAGTTCCTTGTCGCAGAACGAAAGATTCATGGAAGCTCTTGTTTTCCTGCAGCTTATGGTCCGCGAAGGAATCAAACCAGATGGGGTGACATTCGCAAGTGTGCTTCCAGCCTGCTCTTGCTTGGAGATGCTATCTGCTGGGAAGCAAATTCACGCTTATGCACTGAGAAACGGAGAGCTCATTGATAACTCTTTCGTTGGTAGCGCTTTAGTTGACATGTATTGCAACTGCGGACAGGTAGAAAGTGGGCATCGAGTCTTTGAACGCATCTTGGACAAAAGAATCGGGCTTTGGAATGCCATGATTACTGGGTATGCACAAAATGAGCACGATGGACAGGCATTGATGCTCTTCCTTCGCATGGAAACTGATGCGGGACTTCATCCCAATGCAACTACAATGGCAAGTGTTGTTCCTGCTTGTGTGCGGTGTGAAGCATTTTCCAGCAAAGAAAGTATACACGGATATGTTATAAAGATAGGCTTCGAGACAAATAGGTACGTACAGAATGCACTTATGGATATGTACAGCAGAATGGGGAAAATGGAGATTTCAAAGTCGATATTTGATAGCATGGAGGTGAGAGATGTAGTTTCTTGGAACACTATGATCACTGGATACGTCATTAGTGGATGCTTTGACCAAGCACTAGAGATGCTACAAGGGATGCAAAAAACAGATCGTGATGATGGGAGGCTCGCTGGTTTTAAGCCTAATTCAGTAACATTGATGACAATACTCCCTGGATGTGCTTGGATGGCAGCACTAGCCAAAGGGAAAGAGATCCATGCTTATGCGATTCGAAATGGCTTGGCTTCAGATGTTACTGTTGGAAGTGCACTAGTCGACATGTATGCAAAATGTGGATGCTTGAACTTATCAAGGCGAGTGTTCACCGGGATGACGAATAAAAACATCATCACATGGAACGTCATCATCATGGCCTATGGAATGCATGGGCAAGGAGATGAAGCATTGAAACTTTTCCAAGACATGGCGTCTCGAGCCAAGTTTGGAGGAGTGAAGCCCAATGAAATCACTTTGATTTCAGTATTCGCTGCATGCAGTCACTCAGGTTTTGTAGATGAGGGACTCCGCATATTTCACAGCATGAAAGCTGATTATGGGATTGAAGTTACAGCAGATCACTATGCTTGTGTAGTTGACTTACTTGGTCGAGCTGGCCAAGTGGAGCAAGCCTATGAATTACTGAACGCAATGCCTTCTGGGTTTGATAAGATTGGGGCTTGGAGTAGCTTGCTTGGAGCTTGTAGGCTGCACCAGAAGGTCGAAATTGGGGAAATTGCAGCAGAGAGTCTGATTCAGTTGCAACCAGATGTGGATAGCCACTATGTCTTGCTCTCCAATATATATGCATCCGTAGGAATGTGGGAAAAGGCAATGGGTGTTAGGAAGAGGATGGAGGAACTAGGAGTGAAGAAAGAAGCTGGATGCAGTTGGATTGAGTATGGTGATGAAGTCCACAGGTTTTTGGCTGGGGACATGTCTCACCCACAAAGCGAGAAGCTCCATGGATTTCTCGAGCTGTTGTATGAGAGAATGAAGAAGGAAGGGTATGTCCCTGATACTTCTTGTGTCCTCCATAATGTTGGTGAAGATGAGAAAGAGATATTGCTATGTGGGCATAGCGAGAAACTGGCAATAGCTTTTGGCATTCTCAACACCCCTCCTGGAACTACCATTAGGGTAGCCAAGAACCTTAGGGTTTGTAATGATTGCCATACTGCCTCGAAATACATTTCGAAAATCGAGGAGAGGGATATTGTGCTAAGAGATGTGAAGAGATTTCATCACTTCAGGAATGGGACTTGTTCTTGTGGGGATTATTGGTAAGGGGAAGGGGGTTCAGATCAGCTTTTGCTGGGGAGACCAAGTTCTTGACAATTTCTGAGGTAGGGGTTTCCTACACTTGCGACCTGTATCATATTATCCACAAAATTTGCTCACTTCCTGATAGCTCATCTGCCATTCAGAGTGGATCAGCCCATAGAAATGAGAATCACTCTTTTGGATTTCATTTCCACTGTAAATGCAAAAGTTGGAGATTTCTTACTGTTGTGATAGTATTCATCAGCTAGCCCTGATATGTTGAAGATGGACAAGAAGGAATCCAAGTGAACGAGTGCATTGCCAGAGGACTGTATCACATACCAAGGATTCTGCAAGTTTCAATCCTGTAAGTAATTTGATAGGTGTTGGGCTTACAAGATCTTCAACTAATATATCCGCCCTTCATTGCCACTTTTCCCTTCAGGTGTTCGAGATGCCGATGGGAAAATGAAACTTTAGCGATTTGTGATTTTAAACCGCAACCGTACGACTTTGGATTGATCAACTGCATAACTACAAACTGTTTTAAGAGCATACCACAAATTAGACCACCAACTTATTGGTGCGGTTTGTTTGATCACATAGGCGGTTTAGTGCGGTTTGGAACAGTTCGACCTACAAGCACCTATAGTACCAATTGATCAGCACCTTCCCCTGATATATAATCATTTCCTTCTAACACCATCATACTTCTTAGGACAGCCTTTCATCGCCATCTGCTTCTTCTGAAGACTTGTTTGCTCAATTCCATCAGCTGGTTGGTGTTCTTCTGCTGGTTCAGCAATCAAACCAACCACAACATAAACGAGAAGTAAAAATGATTAGAAACCAGGCCACAGAAATACAGGGGGAGAATACAGAGAGCGACATTCTCTCTCTATCTGGTATCTTAACATGGCTAACTTCAATCACGTCAAGTTCTCATGAAAGAGCAAGGAGTTGCTAAACATAACAAAATTCGCAAGCAATTAGAAACAAGACTAGACAAGTATCTGTGTGCTGCTGAATATATTAAGTGGGAGGAGGTAGGCAATTAGTAAGCACGCCCAAGCCCTCTCCTCTTGTTTCGTTAGGGGAATAATGGATAGGTTTCCTACTTTTTTACTTTCTCATTTTCATTAGCATTGCATTCCTAGTCATTTTCGTTAGAACACAACTAACAATTCCTAGTCATTTTCATGAGATCATAACTAACTATAGCCGAGACTCACAAGCAGAGGTATGTACCAGCTATTAAAGGATTTCTCGATGTTTCATTGCTTCTCTGAACCCATCTTACATTACTCGCAATTCCTTGTACCTCGCAATTGAAGTCGGCTGACAAGCAAACTCAACTTGGATGTTTTCCACCTGGCAAGGACGCAAAATAAAACACGCCATATCAACCGCTGCTGTTAGTCTAGTCAGCGAGTTAAGTGAGCCGTTAAAGAATTGGACGGAATTGGCTATATCTGTGTATTTTTCAAAAAGTGGCTATAATTGTCAAAATCGTGAAAGTTATGGCTATGCAGGTGAATTAAGTCTAGTAATTTAGACATGCCCTTATTTCCTTTCTGCTGTGTTGTATTTATAAATAAAATGTAATAGTTATTTAGATTATCATGTAGTATTACTGTATTTGTAGTTTGTGATATACTAATAATTGTAATAGTTATTAATGCAAATTGATTTGTTCTACTGACAAGCATAATTTTTTATTTATTTAGCACTTATGACGAGGCCTCCGAGATGCTATATTTTTTTACTAATGTTCTCATAAAAAATAATGCAGAATGAGTCGGGAAAAGATTCCTTGGACTTAAAGTTTTGGTTGTACGATAAAATATTTTCGCCAGTACATCTACATTCTCATTAAATATAATTTCTCCGACGACACGTTGGAAAAAACCCTAGTTTTGAGAAGGTTTGGTGGTATTAGTAAAAATAATATTTATGACTGTCAGTAATATTTTTGTTTCGACGAGTGGTCAGTAATATTTTATTAGCGACGGGACAAATTCTGATGACGTTTGACGACTGTATGTCGTCGAAAAAGATTATTTCCGACGCAATTTGATTAATTTCGACGAAAAACCTGTCGTCGATAATGACGGTCTTTTTTGTAGTGAAGCTTGGATCCATCTCATTCCATGCACATATATTTCTGTTTTCCATTTTTTGGTAATAACAATATCTATCTGGTTTAAATTTGAAGTGCATTTTTTCACACACACACCTCATTCAGACAGACACTGACCGCAGCTAAAGTAGTACTACAGCAGTAGCACTCTCGCTAGCCCCACCAGTCCACCCCCAACAAATTCATTTCCTTTCTCCCCTTTCCTTTCCTTTCCTTTCTTCCTTTTTCCTCCATAGCGCTCCTTCCCTCTCCATCAAAAAACCCATTCTGAACCAGCAGCAGCTTGCCTCCGATCCAATCCAATCGCCACCTCAAGTTTGATCTTCCCATGTTCCTAGTAATCTCCTTCTCTTTCACCAACTAATCACCTCTCTCTCTCTCTCCCCCTTTTGTTAGATGTTATACATACACTATCTCCATATTTTGCATGGCTAGAGATGGTCACCGTGGCGATATTGTAGATCATCATCATCCACCACTCCTCATTCCTTCTTCTCACCACCACCACCATACTAAATATCTCCTTCCAAGATCAACCCTCCTCCTTCTCTCCTTTCTCCTTCTCTTCTCCATGGTGGTAATTCACAAAGACATTACCATGGCAGCAGCAGCAGCAGCTGGGGATCACGATGAGGTGTCCCCGACATGTCGTCACTGCTGTCGTCGGACACCACGAAGAAGAAGAAGAAGGTGGAGGCAGCCGGAGGAGAGGAAGGAGATTACCGTGGCAACAGCAACAACAAGCAGCAGCAGGGTCGTCGGCGTCGACGAGGTTCAATGCCGAGTGCGCATGAGGTTCCTAGCGGTCCCAATCCCATTTCCAACAGGTGAAAATTATCAAGAGAGCTAGCTTAGCTTAGCTGTAACTGGATTTTGGGTACATTGGTTTTGATTTATATTAATATACGAGAATTTTGTATGTATACAGCTAGAAGGCCATTTAGGCAGTAATTAATTATAATTTAGTACAGATTTTAGGTCTCAATTATTATTAGTGTGTGTGTGTTTGTTGGTTTTTCTTTTTGGAGGAAGTTTGTGTTGTGTTGTGGCTCAATTATTGGGGTCATCAGCTCAAACGAACAACGGGGGGGACCCTTGCCTACGAAAATCATTGAATTTTAACCATGTGAAAAGAGGATGTGTCTGATTTTATCATACATTTATAAAAAAAAAGATATTGTGAATTAATTATTTTGATAGTGTTTGCTTTACTTTAACTGAACTTTGCATAGACCGACCCCTTGATGACTTTTCTTCATTTTATGGGCACAAATTTCTTTTTGCTCGTGTCGTGATTCGCTAGGTATTTTATTGATTGTTCTTAGTTTTATTATGTAACCCCGTGTTACAAATTCAAAAAAAGAATATGTACAAGTGGAAAAGGAGGATAAGATTTTGAATGACCGTCTTTGTTGGTTATATAATATGGATTCATAGAAAGCTCATTGACAAATACCGATTTATATACCAAATGTTCAAAAGGTTAGTTATATATTTTGTATGCATTTTTATATAGTTATAATAGTGGAATTAGGATGGAGAAAAATACATTTATTTCACCCCCCTCGAGTGGTTTTGTAAAATCCGTTACGTTGGACGTTTAGATGTAAATCTTAATTCTCAATTATTGTTTTTAAATAGTTAATTCTGGGGGTTGAAATTTAAAGAATTATGTTGTATAATTAAGTTATTGGAGTTTAATATATATGAATATAATACCATGGTCCATCTAATAATCTAGATAATGTTATTCTACTAAAAGTAGTGACCAGATAGAGTGCTAAAACTTAATTATTAGGAATATTATGGTAACTATATATTGTATAGGAAGTTATTCACCCCTTCCTCCCTCTCCTGGTTTTCGCTCTTCGCATCCCATCTATCGCCCATCCACTTTTCACTATGTAAAAACCCCAAAAACTTGTTAAAAAAATTATTTCAACATGAGAGTTCTGGTGTTGTTGAGGTTTATAGTGTGGTTTCTCACTTTTCTCGTGTTTCTTATCCCAAAAACTCACAGATCCCGACTTACGCTGTGGCTTAAACACATTTTCGGGTCGGGTGCAGTCATTTTTTTTAGTATAATCCAAGTTTCTTGTGCCTGAATCGCGGTTGATAGCATGCAAGATTAGATTGTCACAACTCATAATAACGAGCCTAACTCTTTCTTTCGTCCTTTTAACGATTTATTTTATTTCTCACCAGCCAAGCCAATTATCAAACCTTCTTCTCACTTTCTCGTGTTTCTTATCTGCTTCATGAGAGTTCTGGTGTTGTTGCACATATTTGTGGTCTACTTCAGTGAATTTGTGGTTTGCTTTATGAGGTTTCAGGTATGCTTTAGGGTACTTGTGGACTGCTTTATATGACATTTCTAGTATGCATCAAAGAACTTGTGGCCTATTTTTGTGCGGTTTTTAGTATGCCTTAGAGAGCTTGTGGTCTACTTCAAATTTTCTGGTATATTTTATACATTTTATGTTGTGGTGAGGTTTTTGATATGCTATATACGCTTTCAAGTCCGTTTTATGTTATTTTGTGGTGTGAGTTATTGTGTTTCTAGTATTTGTTTTGGCCTGATCTATTATACTTGTGATGAGGCATGAGATACGAAATAATGAACATCGTCACATGTACGCGTGTGCCCCCTATAATTTTTGATAATGACAAATGCACCCCTCTCTTTACAAATCAACATTAATTATGGTTAACCACTTGAAATAAAATACAAAACGTTCCTATTGACCGAACCTAACTAGTATTAACACTATACTATAATAATTGAGAGTAGTTATCTCCTTAACCGCCACCTCGAACAACATCATACTTCAAATTCACCGAAAAAACGCAAAAACCAGCGTATATATATGTATCACAGTCATCA